TGGGAAGCAATTTCCTTGCCGGAGAAAAGGGGCTGAAGGGCTTGTTTACCAGTGGGATTTTCCATTTCTCGACAAGCGCTGACAAACCTTTCCATTTCGCAGCCACGTGAGCCCTCGCTGCTGGCTTGTTAGCCTAATGCTGTTGACATTTCCCCGCTGCAGCCCGAAGGGGAACGTGACGGGCCTGTCTCGGGGCCTGTCTCAGCCCCTGTCTGCGCGGTTGGCATACAGCCAGCACCATCCCGCACTGGGCTCGTTGTGAAAGGCAAATGAAGTCTGTGTGCATACATCCCCCAGCGCCCAGACTCCGAGCTTTGTCTTTGCCAGGCTCCCCTGAAGTCCTGCCGAGGGCTGCGTGGCAGCGGCGCTGGGGCTGGGGTTAACAAGTGAGGTGGGATCCCGGCGCGGGTGGGGAGCGCCGCACATTTGAACGCACGAAATAAAGCGCTGAGCAGGATGGGGAGCACACATCTTGCTTTATTCATTCTTTACTCAAGGGGTTCTGCCTTCAGCCCTCTCTAAAGCCCTCCTCTTCTTCCTCTGGTCGCACGCCAGACCATTGGCAGTAGCTTAGCCAAGTTGCTGCCTCATCTGACTTACAGTGGGCTGCGAGGGGGCAAGTAAGCAGGAGTGGCACAGTGGATGTCCTTTCCATTCTCCCTCTGGTCGCTACTCCACCCAGCTGCACATCCTCCAGCTGTCTGGGGCTCAGGAAGGCTGTGCCGCTTGGTTTCATGCACATGATCTTCCCTAGGTGCTGCTACCTCCTTCCTTTGCCATTGGCAGCCTGGGAGAGAATTTGATCAGTTTGTCCCGGCTCCTCTTTCTATCCCAGCCTGGGATTCTCCCTCTGAAGCGGATGATATTTTTTGCTCATTGCTGCTAAGCTAGATGGACCCCTGGTCTGATCCAGGATGGAAATTCCTACGTTGTCTCTGTCTACATTGTCAATTACGTCTCTGTGCAAAACCATTATTCATAGGTTGATACTTGTCAGCCATAATCACTGGGCCTCTTCAGCCCTTCTATACATCACCTTAACGATACCACCCTGGGCTAATGCTCGTTGTAAAAAGATGAGACATGGAGGAGAAAGACAATGTGGTCTGATGGACTGACTGCAAGAGTGGGGAGTAGCGACTCCTGGGGCCTCTTCTTGGCTCTGCCAGTGACCCGCTGTGTGACCTTTGGCCAAGTCACTTGACCTTGCTATGTTTCAATGGCTTCATCTGTAAAATGGGGATATACTGATATGTGCCCACCTGCTTAGAGGTGGGGAGCAGGTCTGTGAGAATTGTACAGGTGGGATTTTCAAAGGGCATTGACCTAATTCATCTCCCGTTGAAGTCAGTGGAGCAGAGCTGAGCCAACGCTGAGCGCTTTTGAAAACCGCACGTTTAATGTTTGTAAAGAGCTATGCAAATGAAAAATGTTATATAAGTGCTAAGTATAATGTTATTACTGACACTGTTCCTTACCTACCTAGATGCTTACATGGCCCCATCATATAATATCAGAGGAGTTCCCAAACATTAGTGAATTCAGGCTCCCAGCCTCCTTGTAAAATATGATGGCTTATAACCCCCATTGTATAAACGGGGATACACAGAGATCAAGGGACTTGCCCATGGTCACACAAGGAGTCTGTGTCAGAGGTGGAAACTGAACTCCTAATCATAATACCTGGTCCTTCTACAGCCCTTATCATCAGTAGAAGTCAGTGTCATCATCCCTATTCTACCAATTAGGAAACTGAGGCACAGAGCACGGAAGTGACTTGCCTAAGAGTCACCAAGTAAACCAGTGGCAGAGCCAGGACTAGAACCCAGGTCTCCTGAGTCCCAGTCTAGTGCTCCAGCCACTTCTAAAAGCTTGCTTTTAAAAACACGTTGGACAAGCACCTGTCAGGGATGGTCTAGAGATTTGCTTGGTCCTGCCACAGCACAGGGGACTGGACTTGATGATTTCTCAAGATCCCTTCCAGCCCTACGTATCTATGATCTTGTGAAATCACACTGCTGTCTCTCAGAGCTCCTCCATTCTAGTCCAGTATGTAAGCACGAGACCATCCGTCCTTACCATCCCACCAGCAGCTGCTGGTCTGCTGCTATCATCATTTAGTCTATTTACGACTGATTCATTGACTTCTGGCACAGCCACAACGCTAAACACGACGCATCGCGGTGCTATTTCCGCGGAGCGCGTTCTGAAGATGCAGTCCGTCTCTTTGGTGACACTTATAATGTTCCATCACGGTTCATTGACGGAAGTGTAGCCTCATAAGTGAATTATCACATGACCATGTGTCTTTATGATTCATGTAATCTACGGTGCAGGATTCGGTGCTGTCACTTGGTGGCACTGCAGTTAAAATATCTTTAAAAACTGAAGTGAAAGTATTGTTCAAAGCTGTTATGGATTTTTCGTGGTAGGAGGGCCAGGGAAGCCAAGAAAATATTCCTCATCCTTGCTATCTGTCATTCACATCCTAGCCACTGGGTATACTTTTCCCTTCCTCTCTATGCTTCTGTGTGCTACGTTATCCTTTGCCAAATAGATTACACTGTGCTGCTTGCTGCTTCGAGACCTCTACCTAGCTTCCTCCTCTCTAGATATTTAATCCATGAAATGACTGCAAACCCATCTCAACACACCAGTTCATAGTGAACCCCGTGCACTAGAAGTTGGTTTATGATGGGCCTTGTGGCATAGAATGTCATTTGTCAGACGTAGATCTAATGATCAAAGCCACAGATGATCCTGCTAGGAACGATGAGCCTCGTGCTTCAGGGAACAAACCAAGCATTAAACCGCCTGGGTTTGGGGATAAACTTTCTAGACTGTTCTCAGTGGTGGCAGATGACAGAACAAGGAGTAATGGTCTCAAGTTGCAGTGGGGGAGGTTTAGGTTGGATATTAGGAAAAACTTTTTCACTAGGCAGGTGGTGAAGCACTGGAATGGGTTACCTAGGGAGGTGGTGGAATCTCCTTCCTTAGAGGTTTTTAAGATCAGGCTTGACAAAGCCCTGGCTGGGATGATTTAGTTGGGGATTGGTCCTGCTTTGAGCAGGGGGTTGGACTAGATGACCTCCTGAGGTCCCTTCCAACCCTGATATTCTATGATTTCATACTTCATTATATAAGGGCTCCTTCCTCCCCCTCAGACACATGTATTGGAGGCTGTGTGTGTGCGTATTAACACACAACAGTTGTGTGTGTGTGTGTGTGTGTGTGTGTGTATGTGGTGGAGGGAGTGGGGTGAGGAGGAGGTGAAAAGAAAGGGTGAACTAATGCAGAGATGCACACACAATATATATATATAAAACATAAAACGAGATGGTCTTGAACAGATTTCCCTGGGCAGTACAGCTAATCTCTCTCTCTCTCTAGTCTGTTCCGGTGAGATGCCCCTGGATTACCCAGTCCCATATTACAGACCCAAAAGGTTCGGCGAAGACAAGCGTGTGAATTTGGGGGGTGTTTACCCGAGCTGGTCCCAAGCAGCGAGCCCCCTGCGGTTCACACGTCACCATCCATCACCCCGCCTGGCCTAAATCGCTGCACACTGTCACGAACTCTCACGAGGACAATGCCTCTGAAAGGCAACCCGCCGAGTGGCTTTTCATTGCTTTGTACAGCAGCAGGTTTTCAGGCTATAGCCCCCCCTGCAAGATGCCCAGGGCCTGCAGCTCCCCCCTAGATCTATGGATGAGCAGGCTGTTACTCCCTGGATCAGGCCCCTCATGCTTGTGTGCAGAACCTGTGGAGCAACGAGTGATGGGAATCACGCTTTGTGCAGTTGGCTCTGTAGCTCATTAATCTGTTCCGCTCACTAGGGGCCCATTTCACACAATGGCTTTTTGCTGTGATGTATTTCCCTGGGGTTTACTCCTGGAAGCAGTAATGTGACAGGAGACACTGAAAGGGGAAGGCACAGTGAACATCGGGGGGAGGGGAGGAAATGTGGCTTCAGAGCACTATTCTCATCCATGCCAAGGGGTCACAAATTCGGTTTCGTTTTGGAACGGAAGCTCCAGGAGAACGGGACCCAGTCCCACGTCAGTCAAACACAATGCACAGAGATGGACCCGAACGCCGGAGCCGTTTGCATTCGGCTCCAATATGATTTTACACGGCAGAGCACCCGGAGATTAAGAAAAGGTGCTGCTAGGTTCTGTGCTGAGCTCTTGTTCTAGCAGAGATGTGTTACGGGAGCGTTGGCTGGACTGGCAGGCCTGAAGGTGACCCACAAAATATATGGAGCCAGAATCTCAGCTGGCAATTCAAAGTAGCACCTGCGCTGACTGCAGTGCAGATATACCATTCCCACCTGCCATTTTATATTCCAGGAGCAATTTTCACCTCTGTCTGTTTGCAGATTATTCAACCTAAACCTCCCCCATTGCAACTTGAGACCATTACTCCTTGTTCGGTCATCAGTGCTGCCCCACTAATTGGCTAACCAGCACAATAGCGGACCCTGCGTAAGGAGGAAGGGAGGATGGTCTTGTTGCTGAGGGACTGGTCTGGGACTCAGGAGATTTAGATTCAATTCCCAGGTCTCTCACAAACTTTTCATTTCCCTGCCATTGCAGGGCAGTGGGCACTGGTGAGCCTTGGTCCTACCGGTTCTTGGCCTGCAGCACATAATGGTCTAATCTCCTGGGGGCTCCTTGGGTCTCATTTTGGTTGTTGGGTTGGTGTGCAGCTGGTGTTGGTGGCCTGGGATATACAGGTGGTCAGATTAGACTATCTGGTGATTCCTTCTGGTCTTAAAGTCTGTGACCCTATGACTTCCTGTGTGACCTTGGGCAAGCCCCTTGATCAGTCATTGCCACGGCTCCCCGTCTGGAAATGAGGGATAATTACTCTTCCCTGCCTGGTGGGGCATGGTGAGGGTAAACTGGTCAGCGTTCGTGAGGGGCTGATACAGCTGCGATGGGGGATACATAGTGCCTAGACAAGCCTCTTTTTAACAAACCCTGTTCTGCTCCCTGCAGGTGAATTGCTGGACCATGAAGGCAGCATTCAGATTGCTTCTCCTCCTCATCCTTGTGTTGATCTCTGAAGTGAACGGGCAGAGGCAGAAGCCTGCGCGGAAGCCCGCGCGGAAGCCCGCCCGCCCGACTCCCGAGCCAGTCGAGCCAACAGAGCTGCCTCCGCCCCTGCCGCCGGGCCCCCCCTCCGTCTTCCCGGATTGCCCCAGAGAATGCTTTTGTCCTCCAGACTTCCCCTCGGCCCTCTACTGTGACAGCCGCAACCTGAGGAAGGTGCCCCTCATCCCTCCCAGGATCCACTACCTCTATCTCCAGAACAACTTCATTGACAGCCTCCCGGAGGAGTCCTTCAAGAATGCCACGGAGCTGAGGTGGGTCAACCTGGACAACAACCGCATCAAGAAGTTGGACCGGCGGGTGATGGAGCAGATGGACAGCCTCGTCTTTCTGTACCTGGAGAAGAACCAGCTGAAGGAGGTGCCATCCTTCCTGCCGGTCAACCTGGAGCAGCTGCGTCTGAGCAGGAATCAGATCTCCAAGATCCCCTCTGGGGTTTTCAACAAGCTGGAGCACCTGGTCCTCCTGGACCTGCACCACAACAAGCTGAGTGATGGAGTCTTCAACAAAAACACCTTCAGGGGGCTCAAGAACCTCATGCAGCTAAACCTAGCTCACAACATCCTGCGGAAGTTGCCTCCTGGGCTGCCCAGTGCTGTCCACCAGCTCTTCCTAGACAGGAACAACATTGAGGACATCCCCGATGACTACTTCAAAGAATTCCCCAATCTGGCCTTCCTCAGGCTCAACTACAATCAGATTTCTGACAAAGGGCTGCCCAAGAACTCCTTCAACCTCAGCAACCTGCTGGTGCTGCAACTGGCGCATAATAAGCTCACCACCATGCCCTTCATCAACCCCAGACTGGAGCACCTCTACCTAAACGACAATTCCATTGAAAGTGAGTTGGGGGTAGCAGGTCGGCAGGCCTACGTGGCCGTGGCTGGGCCTGGAGGGAGCAGACGTACCCCAGGGACAGAATTCTTTGCATCGGGAGATTGTTTCTTTCAGTGTGAAACCCACCCACAGGGTTCCACTCCCTTCAAAACACGACTTGATGCTTAGAATGGGTTGGTGGCCCTTTTACATGGGTGCGTGGGGCCAGGTGGTGGAAGGGCCTGTGCTTAGGAAAAGGATGGTCCAAAGTACTACTCAGCATTTCCTGCTTTGCCACAGATTTTTCCCATATGATCCTGGACAAATCACTTAGTCTTGTCATCTGTAAAATGGGGATCAGACTTCCCTACCTCCCAGGGATAAACGCATTAAAGACTGTGAGGTGCTCAGATACTACAGTGATGTGGGGGGCTCACATATGCACCTAAGATAGATGGAAACAATACAGCTTAACTTTCTGGGTGTTGAAGCTAGCAGGGCTACAGGATGCAGAGGGGGACAAAGGGAGAACAGGGCTATGCTGGTGAGCACCTCTGCAAATCCATCAGAGACAGCTTCACACAGATTTAGGCGAAGAACAGCGATTTCATGGGACAGGTGCCAGGCCATGAAATGCATAAACACAGCAAATGTAGGAATAACAAAGGCCTGTTCCCAGCAGACCCAGATGTTTGTGCTATCGGAGCTCTCACCACCTGCTGCCCTGGTTGAAAACATCTGCAGGGATGCAAGAATGCAGAGCTCCTTCCAGAAATTCTCTGCATGCAAAGGAGGGACACACACAGAAACCAGCCCAACTCCTAATATTTCGGGCTGCAGAGTGGGCTGATGGAGTTTTGGTAGCAGAGCAGCATAGGGGATTATACACCTGTAAATCAGTAGTCCCAAAACTGTAGTTAAAATCTAAATACCTTTATGGCTAGCAGTTTATGACAGCTATGCCCATAGACTGTCACATTAGTGAAAGGACCAGGGGAACCCATTGATAATAGCAATGAAGGATGTAACCTCAAAGTCCTTACTTAGGAATATCTCCCCCTTAACTTCAATGAGAGTTTTGTCTGAGTAAGGACTTCTAGATTGGACCCTTATATGCCAAAATGGTCCACCACTGAAGAACAGCCATCTCTGAGGTGGAACATGGCAACTGTAGTGGTCAAGGGAAGCGGCAGTAGAGTACGGGTATCCAGCTTATGAATACACTGGGGTTTGATCCTGGGGTTTGATCCAAAAAACGAAGGGAGGAGCAAGCAGTTTCAAGGTGGAGAACCCTAGTGGAACTAAGTTGTCATCACTGAACGTCAGCAGTGCCAGGAGAAAAGGATAAGGAGACAGAAGGGCCCAATCTAGGCCTTGCTTAAGTAGCTGGACTGGCCCACAGGGGACTAAAGAACCATCAGCAACCGACAGGAGCCCCAAAAAGCCAAATAAGGGCCAATTTGGGCCAAGTTTTAACTAGGGGGGAATTCGGGGTCAAGTTGCTGACTGATCTGTGATGTAGTTAGTCAGCACAGCTATGGTATACTAGTTAAGGCAGTATATGCTGCAGGTTAGAGAGAGACCCATGTTCCATTCCCCTGTGCTGCCAACTGTCGGCATTTTATCCTGAGCCTTGGGACATTTGGTGGCTTTTCTAAGTCTTCAGCTCCGGGAGTCATGTATTCAGTGAGAATCTCTGCTTTTATTTTCTTTAAAAGCAAGTTTCTAGCCCTCGTGGTGGCAGAGAAAAGCCTGAAACGTGCTCCCCTAAAGGGCTTGCAAACAGAAGGCAAACAGAAAGAACCCAGCCATTTTTTTGATGTCTTGGGTTTTAAGCCAGTCTCCTGACTTTGGGGGGCCTGGATCATCATTTTTGAAAGCCTGAGGTTGGCAATACCGTTTTCCCATTGTAAAGTATTTCTTTTCTCCCTTTCATAAAGTGCCACGGTATTTCTCACCTTTCCCTTGTTAAGCACAGATTACTCTGGGAGCTTCCTGACAGAACTCATTCACCTCTGTCTCCAAGGCCACCCCACCATAGCACCCTTCTCTCTGCCCCACATCACTGATAGAGACACTATAGAAGACATTAGGAAGTGCAGATGCAATCTGAGGCCTAGTCTTCACTTACCGGCTGGTCCGGCGGCACGCCATCGATGTTCTGGGATCGATTTATCGCATCTGGTTAAGACGCGATAAATCGATCCCGGATCGATCCCGGAAGTGCTCACAGTCGGCGCCGGTACTCCAGCTCGCCGAGAGGAGTACGCGGCATCGACGGGGGGAGACTTCCGGCCGCGTCTGGACCGCGGTAAGTTCGGACTAAGGTACTTCGAATTCAGCTACGTTATTAACGTAGCTGAATTTGCGTACCTTAGTCCGATTTGGGGACTTAGTGGGGACCAGGCCTGAGAGCACCCCAGACACCATGCAATCGCAGCAGAGCCCTGGGATCACGGCACACACAACATAAGAAAAATAGACATGAAAATAAGCCCCAGAATAACTACTCACGGCTAATGCTCTCTCTAGCTCCAGGGTTTTCCTGCCTCTTGTGATGGCTTCATAATGGCAGCAATGATTAGCAATACTTTGGGCTATTTTTATAGCTACCTACAGGGATGGGAGGAATTATAGCTTGCTGTTTCCTGGAAAATCACCCAATCAGGAATATTCTTAGGCCGATGTGAGTGAGTCCCCAGCTGCGATAGCCAATTAGAAGACATGAGGGGTGGTGACTACACCTTCTCGGTGGCCTGCTGGAGTGCTCACTTGTTGCAGGACGTCTCATTGTTTGCTGGAGTTAATGACAGAGTGGAATCTCCAATGCCTGGCTGACGTTTTGAAGGCTGGCTTTGGAGCTCCGCTGGGGCTATGTGTGCTCAGATGATTTGGTGACGCCAACGGCTGATATAAGATTCCTCTGGTGGAATCGTAAAAGCCATGGGGGCTGAAGGGCAGAAGGACTGGAGTTTGCAGCTGGATAGCCAGGAGAGGTGAGAGGATCTTTAGTAAATCCAAGCACGCTGGACTGATGAAACCTGCTATGTCTGTAGGGGGAGGAGGTGCCACATGAGGGAAGCCATGTCATGCAGGAGCTAACAGATTGGGTGAGCATGTAGGTTGGTTTGACACATGGAGCTTGGCGAGATGATCCACCACCTGGGACATTGAATTCAACAACAGTGGTCCAGGGATCCCTATGTTTTGGTAGACAAAAGGAGACTTGGGATGCCCACATGGCTAGAGTTAGGGTGACGTGCAGCTCAGTGCTTGCAGATCCCCGCTGACAGAAGGACAGGCAACTCTGCTCTCTTGCTCTCCTTTGATAGAGAGGTATGTCTTCAGACAGGTTGAGGTCCTGCCTCCTAGTCCAGGGGCACAATTCCCACCCATGGAATGAATCCCGGGTGCAAATGTGAGTCACTGTACCTCTGCCACCCGATTTCCCCCGGGAGTCAGCTAGTTAGAACAAGGACTTAGAGTTGCACCCAAAATCCATTGATGGGTGCAATACTCTAGGTGCAAAAATGCACCCACAAAGAAGGAGAAAGTGTGCCCCCATTTGCACCTAAACCGATACGTATTTCCACTGTAGCATCAGCACCTATTTACTGCAGTGATGTGCTCTATCAATAAGATAGATGCATAGTTAGCTCGTCCCAAGAGAACGGACATACCCAAGGAGATACAGGGGTAAAGAGAGGAGCAGCGGAACCCTCCTCTTCCTTTGGTGCAGTGAGAGCGCCCTCTTCTGTTTCAATCTTCTTTAACTACGGGATGGGGTGGTATGCACCAGAGACAACAAAACAGATCTCTTGCAAGCCCCTTAAGCACTAAGTGTTCACTGAACACCATAGATGGGTGGATGGATGGGTGTGATGTAGAGTAGATAAACTCTCAGCGTCTCTCGCCTGGAATCAAATAAGCTCTTCCAACCCATGCCATGCTCTCTCTTCCCCTGCAGAAATCAACGGGACCCAGATTTGCCCCACCGCCCTGGTCACCTTCCAAGACTTCTCCTCAGATCTAGAAAACGTGCCCCGGCTCCGCTACCTGCGCCTGGACGGCAACCAATTGAAACCTCCCATCCCCTTGGACCTCATGATGTGCTTCCGGCTCCTACAGTCAGTCGTGTTTTAACTCTCCCAGCAGTGCCACTCTCCCGGGACTTCGGCTTTGCGCAGACAATTGACTCCAGTCTATGTCAGACACTTGGAAAATATCTTGTTCCCCCATTCAACCCACCCCACTCACCCCTCAACGCTCTGTCTCCTCTTCCTCCCCCCTCTCTTTCCTCCTTCCTCAGCTGCAAGGAGCCCCGCCGCCGTTAGGTGCAGCACAGTACCGCCCTGTGGATGCTGCATGTATCTTATAGGAGTGCACTTCCTGTCGGATACCTGTAGTGCCCACACAATGGCACTATGCCACAATAAGCATCCAAGGCCTTCGTGTAAATGGGGCCCTTTCACGCCTACCCTTTAGGTCAAAGTCAGAGAAGAGGTGCCTGCTCAAATGCCACCCACTTATACCCAGCATGCAACTGCCTTTCCTTCCCAGGTCTGTATCTCTTCCAGTCATAGGAACCATCTCCAGGTGGACCTGATCTTTGTAGGTCTATCAGCATCTCCTCCCAACTCCAGCAGACGGTGGTACGTGAGCTTTGTTTTGGGAGCACCCAGTGATGGAGGGGCTGTCTGGCAGATGGGAGGGGCAGGGGGCCTGGAACTGGACAATGATCCGAGGCAATTATAGCTGCTTTATGAGACAAGGCGATTTCATCCCCAAAGCTGCAATATCTGGCAAAATAACCCAAGTTGTCTTGGGCACCGAGATCCAGTTCAGGTGCTTCTCTTCCAAGGGCACAGAATTCATTCGAGGTGGGCGTTGGGAATCCAGGTCAGGTTCTACTTTTTTCCAAGTCCTCTCCTTGGCCAAAATTGGTGCAGCTCACACTTCACTGTGGACGATCCTAGGGAAACCCAATGGGTTTGCTCAGCCATTGTGTCTTCGGGCCACATTGGCGCTGGACTCACCCACCAACTTCATGCCAATGAAAGCTGATGAAACCTCAGAGGTTCCCCACTGAGCAGAAAATTCTGGGTACAGACACCATATAGGCATGTGGCAGGCATGCAGAGCCCTTGGGTGGGTTGAATGTATTCACATGGAAGAAAATTCATGCAAACAAGCAACTTCCTCAACCACATGGCAGCTTCTTGCTGCACCTTGCTGGATTCTATCGCAATTCATGGCAGCCAGGGTTACCAGCAGGTCCCCATCGCCAACTCAGATAGACCCCATAAGGAGTCCCCATAAGGTCCCACATTAAAACCCTATGGATTATAGGAATCCTGGTGGAGTACCCCTTTCATGTACGCACACACCAGTCTGCCCTTGTGTCAGAGCAGTATGGGCATCAGCCATCACTGAGAACTTTTAAATCACGATTGGATGGTTTTCTAAAAGCTCTGCTCTAGGAATTACTTTGTGGCAGTTCTCTGGCCTGTATTACCCAGGAGGTCTGACTAGATGATCACAATGGTTCCCTTCTGGCCTTGGAATCGATGAATCTATGAAAAACCACAAAGAGGGTGGTTTTTGCTCTGGCTGGTGACCTGCAGCCGGGTCCTTCCTAATACATGCGGCTACTTTGATTCCAAAAGATGGTTTCGAGACCAAGAGTAACTCCTCGAGCCCAGAGCTTAGGGTAGTTTGTGAGGCTTGGGTCTGCAATGGGGCTAGCTAGAGAGACATCTCAAGGCGAGGGGGAGATGGATTAACTGTGGCTCTACACATTAGGGACAGCTTGTGATGTCATGGCACTGCAGCACTCCTGCATGATGGGGTTAAGTCCAGGAGCTGGTGCTGAAGGCTGGACATTGCTAGGGCCCTGGATTTTGCATTGGTAGAGCAGAGAGGTCCTCATTCTGGGAAATGGGGACAATAGGGAAGATCTGTCTTGAAAGCACCACCTTTTTGCAAGCAGACAAATGCTTCCTCTGTTCCATTTATGGGGCACCACAGTGACACCCAGTGGCCAGAGAGGGTAATGTTGGCGGGCAGTCCTAGGTTTCCCAAAGATCGACATTGTTCCTGTTTAAAGGTAGCTGGTTACGTTAATTCCATTCATTCCCTTTGGGTGGATCTGACCTGAGCCATTTGTCTTATTTAAAGCTGGCAGGTTAGAGTAATGCCCGGTGCATTGTGGGGATCCCTGCTTCACATTCAGAGACGTCAATCCGGATTTAGTCCGGCAGAAGTGAGAATTGTCGTAAGCTACAGTCCCCCCAGCTGTCCACTTGGGAGTGCATATAAGTACAAGCGATGTCGTTACACCCTGAGATGGGCCTGGAGCTCTTGGGGGACCAGAACGATGGTGAGAAAGCTGCAGCTTCCCCGGACACTCCCCATCAGAATGAAACACCCTCTGCCCATCCCCCTCGCTCCCCAGAAAACCACTTGCAGGGGGAGCAAGAGGAGAGAAGAGAGATGTGAAGAACAGAAGAAGCTGCCCAGCCCACTGGCACCGCTTGCTTTAGCGTCTTCTTCTCACCATCTCCTGCTGCCCTTCACGCCCTTCCTCCGGAGTCCTCCAGCATCCCATCGAAGGTCTCTATCGCCTTTCTTCAGACCCTTCACTCGCCTTCCCCAGTCACTTATTCCCTCCTGCCCTGTCTGGGTGAGGGCTCTGCTCAAAGTCCCTGCTTCCCCCCCCCCCCCCCAAGATTCCTCTGAGGTTTTGAAGCAGCGTGAAAAAGTCTCTCTTAGTTTGTCGATCCTGTTCGCCAACTTCAAGCCTTAAGTCCCAGGGCCAGATCCTTCAGCTGGTGTAAATTGGCTCTGACTTCAGTGGAGCTGCACCCATGGACTCCAGCTGAGAATAGTGCCCTCTTTATCCCTGGGGACTCCATTGAGCTCTCTTCCCCTCTGTGCAATGGATGCTTTGATCTTTGGTGGCACACATTGCATCCTCTCCAGCACTATGTGGGGCAGCACCCAGTGTTGCCTGCTGAAGCTCAGAAGGTGTCTAACATGCGTCGGGCACAGTAGCAGTATTGCCACAACCTAGTGCCAACTACTGCATGTGGCCCAATGGGCAGAATGAGGCGTTACTGTGTCCTGAGTGGTTTTGCTGTTCTGCTCTGCACAGGACGTAGGTTTTCAATGATTCCTCCCCCCGAGACTCCATCTGCGTGCTGCTGGGTGACACACGCTCAGCTCGGATCTTGTGGCCTGGTTCCTCTCTCCCATAGACGAATCCCTTTACACATCTCAGCAACGAAGTGCATTCGCCAACTCGGTGGCCTGCTCACCTCAGTGACTCAAATCCCTCTGGATCCCTGCGATTTGCTCTGCCTCTGGTATTAGGCTCCTCGGCGTGATCTAAGCATGCGCAGCAAAACAGGTCCAGTCTTTCTCTCCCTTACCCCTGTGCCGCTCGCTTTGAACTCAGCAGGATTCTGTGTGGGGTAATGGAGAGCAAAATTGGGCTTGTGGCTGTAAGCGACGTCCCTAAGGCTTGACTCTCCCCCAGTCCCCGCCTGTGAATCCATTTGGGCTCCTCGTCTTGGCAGATCTTTGGATGTGAATTGGCAAAGCTCCATGCACTTTAGTGGAGCAGAGCTAGCGGGGGTTCCGGCTGATTGGTCTTTCCCCCTTCACACTGGGACTCCTTTTGACTTACAGCTGCATTGCCTCCATCTTAGCAGCTGGAAGGAGCTGGGGTGTCATGAGCCACCAGTGTGTGTCTCTCTCTCTCTTTCTGTATTGCACACAGCAACACAACACCGTCATATCACTCCCAAGAAGTGTCTCTCTCTCCTCTTCTCTCTCTCCAATACTCTCCCTGCCCCCCACCACATACACCCCTTTCCTTTACCTCCCACCAGGTCTCTAGCTTTGGCATTGCTGGGTAAGACGTGCCCATTACGCTAACCCTCTCACCATCTCCTCTTCCTATCCTGCCCTGCTCTCGGTCTGGTTTCCCTTTGGCTCTCTCTGTAAGCCTATACGGCCCTGTGGAACTGCACAGATTGAACTCAGTAGCCGACGGTATATGTGCAACCCCCTCTTCCATCCAAAACCCCCCACTTCGGCCCTCAAAGCCAATGGACTCCCATTTACATCAATGGGCTTTGACCACGTCCTTAGTGACCAGACAGCCCCATTGTCCCCTGGACACGTCCTCCCAGGAGCTCCTGTTGGAGGTGCATGCTCGGAGTCAATTATTTTAACAGCAATGCAGGCGTGAAACTTGCTCTCCTACCTATGTCCGCGGGGCCAGATTCAGATCTCAGTGACGCAGGGGTAACTCCACAGTCACTCCGTTGATCTCAGTTGAGTTGCTTTGGATTGTGACATGTAGAATGTGATCTCCTGGTCTCTCTCCTAGCCTACCTTGCATTATGTTTCATTCTCGGTCGCTTTACAGAACCAAACACCGCTTGTACCTTTTTCATTTTGAAAAAAAAACATTGTTTTTTTTTGAGGAGCTTATTTTTTTATTCTACTCCCAGTTGTTATATGTACGGTTCTCTCCTCCTTCGCCACTGCATACATAGGGGTCTGGGTTTCGTTTCTTTCTGATTTTCCGTGTTTATGTTCTGGACCAATTGAGGATCGTTTTTTAAAGGAAAAAGAATCTGTTTTAAATCGGTGTTTATAAACAAATAAACCCACTAGCAATTGTCTCCCTTGAATTCAACCAAAATGTGAACCCTCTGTGAGAAGAGGAGGTTTTTAAAGGCACAGATGGGAGTTAGATATCCAGCTTCCATTGCAAATCGATAGGAGTGATCCATGAAAATCAGTGGGAACTAGATGCCTTAACTCTCCTTTGTGCCTTTCAAAATCTACCTGCCACGCTCCAGGGATGAGCTCCCAGTAAGCAGTAGAGAGACTGTTAAGATCTACTCATTCCCTCCACAAACACTGTGAAAATTGCAAATTCCAGGCAGGTATTTTTAATGAAACCCTCGTCTCCAAATGTTCCTCAATGGGATTTATTGGGTTTGATTGGTTTCAACATTAAACCTGGAAACCCTATGTATATATTTATATATCTATATGTGTATATATACCGGTACACTGTACCTATATAGCTATATACATACAGTAGCTCTCAACTGATTTTAGCTCAATGGTATTTTCACTTCTCCTCGCCCGTGGCAGTGAAAATAAAACGATTCAAAAAGAAACCTGGAAGTGCGGTCAGAAAATGCTGCCTAGGGACCTGTTAGCAACTGATGTACTGATTATTTAGTCACTCCAAGGGTTCTCTCGGATGGTGCCCATCGCACTGGTGTCTGGGTACCGCTATGAAGTTCAGGGTTAGAGTCTCTGCCCTGCCTTCCTCTGCTTCCTTTGGGCCACGCTGCCAGAGGTGAGAAAGAGAAATCTAACCCTAACCCCCCAACTGGGGATATCCCCAGGGTAAGGAAGATCCCAGCAGGCATAGCCTAAGCAACCATCTCTGCAGGGCAGGCAGAGGTGTGCCCAGACCATGATTTGCTCAAGCGATCCTCACCTGGTGGATGGGTACTCAGGGCGCAGCCAACTGATGCAAATTACAGCAGCCACCCCAGGCTGTTCTCAGCTGGGCCAGGGTTGAACAGAGAATCAGTGAGTTGTAAGCAGCTCCCAGGTGGGCCCCTCCTTCCTGCTGTGCCCAGCGGAGAGTCTGGGCCTCCGTCTTTAGAAATACCCTCGTTGTCTGGCCCATTTGCACATGCAATTACCACAGACAGTCCCAGGGAAGTGCAGGGACCTTCAGCACTGAAGCAAAGACTTCTACCACTTGAACTAAAGGACAAACTCCGCTAGCTGGTAGGAGTTTGTTGCCCTCTCCGTGGGCCACGTGCTGACGGCAGAGGATGCATGCACTTTCCAAGCGTGCGACACTTGCCAGTTCGGGGTGCGAATGCCTGTGTGGTTGTGAAAGTCGGGGCGGAGCTGCCCTCAGTTCATGATCACAACCCTACTGGGGAAGGAGCGTTTGTGCAGGGAATGCACAGTAGAGGTATGTGGAATGGGTGTTGGGAGGAGAGATTGTGTCTGTCTGGCTGTCTAGGTATGTGTCAGCTCACAAATGATATGGATATGTGTGGGGTAAGTGATTGTGACTGGCTGTGTGTGTATGTGTGGGGGGCATGTGCATGGGAACAGAATGGGTGTGGGCTGCAGTTTATCTTTCTGCCCATTGCTATAGACTCAAAGCTCATCAGAGATTGTCATGGAGGCATGAATCATAAAGGGGTGGGCGGGGGTCCGTGGGTGAGTGTGTGTGTGTGTGAACGCATGTGCCTAGACGTGGCGCTCCATTCACGTGTGTGTTGGCAGGGAGGCGTGTCCGTGGGTGCAGAGTGGGTGCAGCTAGCCTCATGCTGATCGCCGCAGGATAAAATCGGACTGTTTTAGATTGTGATCAGCGCGTGAATCGTAAACTCTCTGGTGTGCGTATGTGAGCGAGACAGAGGGAGAATTACCTTGCCACCCCTCTAGGCAGGACAGCCCTGTCTCCTGCAGGATATCAATACCGAAAAAAAAAAAAGGGGGAGGGGGATCATTTCTTTCCCTCCCCCCACCCCTGCAAACAGCAGCCTCTTGGGGCTCAGAAGAAAGTGGGGCGGTAACTTGTGAGCTCTCCAGCCGTGTTAGCAGGCATCAAGGGGAATGCGGGAAATCTCCTAATTAGCCCTAGTGGATTGCTGGTGATCCAGGGGACGTGGGCATGCCACATGGGGATGGGAACATCAAAGGCATTCCCAGGGCTCACAGGGCGTTTGATATCCGGGGAGGGAGGGGTGTCATTGCAGTGGGGAGTCATCGAGCCTACAGAGAGAAGAGAGAGATTCTAAAATATGGGGCCTGGTGCAAGGTGCATAACGAGACTAATTACAAACCACGGTCCCCATCCTATCAGTGGGTGCACAAGCATGGAGTCCCAGTGCCTCTCACTGTCTGGGGTCTTATCTCCATTATCTCCCACCAGTGTAATGCAGCCATCTCTGGGGTGGTGGGTGGCAGTCAAGCAGCAGCCAAGTGGGGGAAAAGAAATAGTCCTCGGCAAACCTCGACTCCTTTGGGAAAGCAAGGGGGCAGAGCAGAGCTGTCGTGGGTTTGAATTCAGCTAGAATTCCTCCCGAGAGTTCTTGCTGCATCCTGGGCCTTCTCCAGTTCCCCGCTCCTGTGGCATGGGCTGTGGCTTTCAGCCTACCTCTAGCCCTTTGTCTGGCAGTGGTTTAAAATCGTCCAACCTACAGGAAATGAATTGTGCCTGGTATTTCCTGGGCTGGAGGGGGACAGGGAAAGAAGGGGGAGTATACCCAACTGTCTGCCTTTAATGCCTCTTCATAGTATCTCCCAGTATCTCCCTCCACTTAGCCTCGGCTGGCTACAGCAGTGCTCTCCGAACTGCAAGCCTCTCTCTCTGGCCCAGCCCCTGCTATCAGCGCTTCACTCCTGACTTCTCTGTGAACCGAGTCTGTTTCATCCAGCGAGCGGGCGGCACAGCACCCGGGCGACCCCTGAAAAGCAGCCAAATGCCGCTGGGCCCATCAAAGGAGCAGACCCGCTGAGTCAGCTGGAACGCGCCTCTCCGGGCTGCCGCGCCACCTCCAGCACTAGTGAGCCTTCTAATGAGGGCTTAAAACGGATTACTGCAGGCCTTCGGCGCTTTTCTGTGCCTAGCGGGGATGGGGCTGCAGGGCATGGCTGCCCTCCAAGCTAGAACACAGCTTGGGTTTTTCCAGGATTCTTAGCACCTCCCCATCACTCCACCTCCACCCTCCCCTGCTTTCCATAATCATCTCGTCAGATGTAGCCCTCCCAACTGCCCCGCATGGGCCTGTGCATGTGGTCAAGGAAGCGCATGACGCAGGTACCTCGGTGCAGTCCCTACGATGGTTGAGCCCGCAACTCTGTGTGCACGGCTGGGTGAGACGGCGCGTGCCTTGTGGTGTACGGCATTAGAATCTCTGAAGGTGGGAGCATATGTGGGAGGAGGCTGTGTGTGTGAAAGACAGCAGAAGCTGTGTGTGCGTGTGTATGCGTGATGGGACTGTGTGTTTGTAAGTGAGGGTCTCTGCAGAGGGGTGCATATGTGCGATGGGTGTGTGTGGTCGGGGGGAGGGTGGCACATGAAGTTTTTAGAGGCGTGAGCACAGGGCATTGTGCCTTGCAGATGTGAAGTGTGCGTGGGTGTTCCGGGAGTTGCAGGATTAATGACCTTTCTCTGGCTCAGATTCTGGTTCCAGGCCCAGGCTCCAGGCGAGGTGGCCCATTCAGTGCCGGGACGTGCGTAATCCAGATACATGTCCTCCAAGAGGCAGTGATGTTCAGTCCCTCCGACAGACACCGATGCTCAGAGGCTGACATGAACCGAAAGCATCGAACTAGGAAGTTTGATTCCTAGAGGGAATCTGCAATTCACAAGGCACAAAACTGACTCTCCGGCCATCCGCCATGGAGAGGGCTGGACCAGGGAGCAGTGTTGCTGTAGGTCAGGGCTGAGGGGCATTGGCAGAGCTGTGTGTAGGGATCCAGGAATGAAACAGCAGGTCGGTCTTAAGGTGCATTGGTAGAGCTGTGGGCAGAAGCCGTTCTAGGCATATGAAAGCTCGGCAGATGCCTAGGGTGGCGGATTTCTGGGGATGGCAGATTTGGGGATTTCCACCCCCCTATTCCTGCCATGGATGGCGGGGGATAAGGTTGGCAGAGCTGCCCGGGGGAAGGAGAGGCTGCCAGCTGAAACTCCGAGGAGCGGGATTCTGGGAAGCACACCCACCGGCAGGCTGGGGGTGCAGCTTGTGGGCTGGGGGTGCGGAGTGTGAGAGGCCAGACGGGGGAGGGTGCCTAGATTCCACTGTGGTTGAGCTAAGTGGCTCCTGGGGAAGGATTGCAGGGGATAGAGGTCCCCAGCCTCAGCGTGGGGAGAGAAAGCCGGGACAGGGATGGATGGGGAGCAAGTCTCTGGCCCCAGGGGGGTGGAGGAGGCTGAAGAAGGGGTGTGTGTGGGGGATCCTGATGGAGAAAGGGTCCCTGAGAGCAGGAGCAGGGGCAGCAGCACATGATATTTTGCCTAGGGCAGTAGATTGGCTGGGGCAGCCGGTGGCTGTGGAATGCACAGGACTGGACTAGCAGGGAGGGCTGCAGGGCAGGACTAAGGTGCATTGGCAGAGCTGTGGTACCCGCAGGGCTGGAGACGCTGGGAAGGCTGTATCGAGGAGCATTTGCTGGGGCGGATCAGCTTTCCTGTGCAATGCCTGGTTGTAGACCATGCTTCTCAGCCCCTTGTTTTCATTAAACTAATGAAAGGATGAGAGACGAGAGTAAATTGCACCTCCAGCTGTGGGTGCAGCCTGGCACAGACACACACACACGGCAAATATTTACCTTTAAAAATCAGCTGTTCTTCGAAATTCTCAGCTCCCTCTCCTCTCAGTGCCCTGTTAAGGGAGGTTAGGATGCAGGTCTCCCAGGCTCCCCAGCACTGTAGCAGTACAGAACTCCCCTCCCCCTGGAATAATAATGCCTAGTTTTATCTAGTGTTTTTCACCCCTAGATCTCAAAGCGCTTTACAAAGGTCGGTATCGCGCTAGAAGGACAGAGATTTATTGGAACACTGCAAGTAACAACTCCAGAACCATGGGCAGGACTTAAGTTCCTACAACCCCTCTCCCCCCCGATAACA